TGGAAAGGATTTGATTGAGATCATAAACCGATTGATGTTAGACCACCTTTGGAAACCTGAAAGCACTGGACGGCCGTTTCGTCCTATTGTGGGACTCCTGAGCAGTGCGCATCCACAATCCCGCTCGCGGGATTCGAACTCGCGAGAGTAGGTTGGAGAGTCGTAGTAGGCAGCCTATCCTCCTTCCAAGGGGTAACAGGAGTAAGTAAGTAAGTAAGAATAAAGGCTAGCATATGTTGGTCTTGAACACATAGTTTTGATTTGAATAAACAACTTTTCTATAGTGCATAAGTTGTTTAATTGTGTCCATTTTGTACTGCGAATTCCCGAGTACTTTATTATGTAATTCTATCCCCAATTTTTAATAGACCACCTTATTAATTAAAATACTATCAATACAACTGTACAACTTGAATAAAGGACATTGTCGAAAAGAAAATTATTAAAACTTGTGCCCTGTATTCTAATAATGTATAATGTAATGATACTGCCAATTAGAAAACAGTGATTTATCAATCGAACCAACGACGCATAAACATGTAGAAGTAGTCTAGAGTCTTTTTATAGGTCCTACTTCTCGCCTAGCCCTACCCGTTAAGTCCAGAACACCAATCTCAGCCTCTGCATTATCAATCATTTATTTCAAATATACTGGGTTTATATACAAACCAAACAGAACACATCGTACTATAAAATAGAAAACAACATTTGTACAAGATTTAGCCAAATGTGGCTGTGAATATGGGAGATAGTAATTGATACACTTAACATAAATCAGGAATGGTAAATCGTATAATAATAGTTTATAGGTCAAAATGAAGCTTATGATAAGAGGAATACGAATATGAATAGTTTAGTTATTTAACAATTATACGATAGAAATATCCGTGTATTATTAATCCAGAAATAGAACCTAACAGTTATCCTTCATTATTCTCATCGGGATATAACAAAAATTTTCTTCGCTGATTTGTTGTATTTTTTACCTCTGAAACAAATTATATTATTTAAAGTGAATGAATTTGTTGAAGTAGAATACACAGTATAAAACAATCAAGTAATTTGCTTGTTTGTTTTTACAATACACTTAGTTAAAGATACCAAATGCGCTGATGCAGAAACTAAGTGTATTAATATAAATGATCAATCACGAACTGTTCATGAAAAGAACAGGAAAAAAAACACAGTTATTCTTTGTCTTCATTACGCTTTAATGAACTATGAGTATGAAAAGACACGTCACATCTTATAAATAAGATGAAAGATGTTCATATTTTGGAGGGTTTAGGTTATTATTGACTGAGTTTTAATAAATATAAATAAAAACCATACTTGTTGAATGAATTAGTTAGTGTACATCCAAACTATGAAGTTCAATAGATAACGTAATGTGTGTTCAAAATGAAAGATATTGACTTTGTGTTTCATTGTGAATATCAACAATGGGGTACCGATTCGTCCAGATGATAATCTATTTTATATACAATGAATGATCTTGAAAAGTATGTCGGATTACATAAGATAGAAGTTGAATAGTACATATAAGGAATGATAATCATAGATAAACATGGTACAATTCTTATAAGCAAAGATGGATAGTGGCTAGCAGTGGAATCCAGGATGCGCGTTTCGTCCTGTTTGGGACTCGTCAGCTGGATGTACCTGCATCTCAGAGTTGATGTTCATTCTGGGGCTCGAACTCAGTACCGTTCGCTTCAAACGCTATCGCGTTATCCACTTAGCTACTGAGTCCTGATAGCCACTTGCTTGTGCAATGGGTTGAAGTTTAATTCACTTGATATTGTTTTGTTTGAATCTTCCCATTGATGTTTTTGGACTGAAATTGATCAGTCTCTTATTGGCATATGTGCATACTGTGCGTATGCCTCGATATTGCCTTAATTTACATCCAGCTGACGAGTCCCAAACAGGACGAAACGCGCGTCCTGGATTCCACTGCTAGCCACTATCCATCTTTGCTTATAATGCTTGTAAATTAAGGCAATATCGAGGCATACGCACAGTATGCACATATGCCAATAAGAGACTGATCAATTTCAGTCCAAAAACATCAATGGGAAGATTCAAACAAAACAATATCAAGTGAATGGTACAATTCTGTTTGGTGTTAATATATACGGGTAGATATATCAATTAGATAGAAATGAAAGTATCAGTTTGCATGAAAAACTAACACTTCACTTCACTTACGCCTGTTACTCCTAATAGAGCATAGGCCGCCAACCAGCATTCTCCAACCCACTCTGTCCTGGGCCTTCTTTTCAAGTTCCACTCAATTCTTGTTCATTTTTCTCATGTCTATTTCCACTTCCCGGCGTAATGTGTTCTTTGTTCTTCCTCTCCCCCTCCTCCTCCTTTGGCCTTGAGGATTCCATGTGAGGGCTTGTCTCGTGACGCAGTTGGGTGCTTTCCTCAATGTATGTCCTATTCTCCTGATTTCTTTCACCGCTGGGATCTGGTTTGTTCTTTCCCACAGTTGGTTGTTGCTAATAGTATCCGGCCAACGGACCCGAAGTATTTTACGTAGACAACTGTTAATAAACACCTTTATCTTCTAGATGATGGCTTTCGTAGTTTTCCAGGTTTTCACACCATACAGTAGAACTGTGTTGACTCCACCTGGAGTCCCTCCGGGGGCCACTACCGGTCCCAAGCCAGGATAAAGGAGGAGGGTCGGGCATGGGGTTAGCGACCCCATCCCGTAGAAAACTAACTCGCTGAAAAAACTCTAACCAGAAAAAAATTATTCGCATGAAAAACTAAGTACCTTAGATATTGTCTGTAAAATAATTTTTTAAAAATTGGTGTTAGCTTTTCTAGGATAGTAAATACTGAATTAGCGGTTCATATTTTTCATGTATAAAATGAAATAGAGTTGATTATTTTTTTCAATCAGACTTAGCAACGTTATTGTATTTCCAAAACAAATAGCCACTTTTAAAAACACAGGTTTTTTTAAAGGAAGAACTGATAAACAGACATGAATAAGATTATAATCAATGAAGAAACATATATATTACTAGTTTTGTTCAAGTCGTAAACCTATTCAATTTAAACAACCATTAATAACCAGGATGCATTGGACAACTGTTTTGTTCTAGTATGAGATTTCTCCGAGAAAGGTATCTACGACCCTGCGATTATGAACCTAAAACAGTACCATTATTCGCTCTCGATTGCTTAACCTTCAGACAATTTAGCCAATGTTCAGTGGTAAAGATGAATAATTGCGATCAGCACACAATATTGTATAACCATCTTAATAGCAGTTTAATTGTTGAATTCATGAGTCAGTTGAAACTAGACCACCGTAAAAAACCTGCTAGCATTGGACGGCCGTTTCTTCCCAATATGAAACTCCTCAGCCGTGCGCATCCACGATCCCGCCTCGTGAGACTACAACCTAGGACCTATCATTTTCGCATGCCACTGTCCACCATCGTCATCAGTGAGTTACTATCTCACAACTGACGCGGTTGAAGTCCACTGACCACAACTTCTCACTAGAACTCCAGGAAATACCTGTTGGAGACTGTCACTAATGAGCATATGATAATAATTATGATCATCGTCCTATTAGTTTTTATTGTAATTACATATATTCTTCAGTTTATGGTTAAACTTTACTTCCACTTTCCAAATTATCAAAAACCTTCAATCACGAATGTTTCAAATGACGAAAAGATATAAACTCATTCATTTCAGAATAAAACCAAAATAGCTCTAGTTTAAATTTATTGTTCAGACTGGCTTACACATTAATAAATAATTTTTAAACTGATGTATTTGGATCTTATTATTTTAAAATGAATGTAAAAGCTAATAATTTGGCCAGTGATCCCCTTGATTGTATGAATAAGTTCTAGTAATCATACAATCACTACTTTAGATTCACGTTTGAACATGGTATCGGTTGTTTGAATTTTATCGGTAATATTTAGGATTTTAAGTATTCAGTCTTTTTTTAGTATATCTGCATTCTGTATTGCCATTAAATCACCAGAATTATAATCAGAGTTGGATGTTGGATAGCAATAGGGTTCAACGATACGTGTTCCTTCTTATATAGCACTCGTTAATTGAATGTACCTGTACTCCAGAATTGATGATCACTTCAAGACTCGAACCTAGTACCGAACGCTTCAACCACCATCACGTCATCCACCTAGTTACGGAGTAAAGTACTAAGTTCAAGTCTCGAAGTGAACATCAACTTTTGGATATAGTCACATTCGGCGAAGTATTACCAAATAAGAAGAAACGTAGATCATGGAATTTACTTTTAACCACCATCTATCACTGCATATGTCTTTCTGTATTTGAGTGAAAAATATGTGAATCTAGACAGAGTGGACACATATTTTGATAGCACTTAAACGAAACACTACTTCTTTATTACTTACAACCATACACTCAAAATTTACTGTTAAAAGTAAAGTAAGAACCATAGTCATTTTATTGTCAGCCCACATTTGAATTCATTCAGGTACCAAAAGATAAAATATCTACGTTTCATTTTATTACTGTCATTATCAATGTTATAGTGAACGAGAACACGAATAGGAACAATCGAATGTATTCGAACACGAAATTCCAGAACATTTCTGAGAACTTTACAGTAAATGCTTAATTTGCAAAATATCAATCCATTGTCTCAAACCTGACTGTTTCCTTTGCAAATATCAGTCCATCATCTCAGATTTCATTGTTCCTGCATTTTCATATCAATTGTTTTTCGTTCCCATTCTTTCCTTCTGGATCTTCTACTGAAATACACTATATTCCTGATTATCATTATATACTACTTTTATGTATATAAGTAGCACACATTACAATATATATAGTATTTACCTACAAAATTTATTTGCATCCCATTTGTTTAGATTTATTTTCTTCTTAACTTCCCTCTTTTCTTGTCTATTTAACATAACCATATGGTTCATTATGTGTTGAATTTTTGTTTGTTTGTTTTATTTTAGTTTATTAATTTAGCAAGTAAATTTATTGGGATATTTAATCTTGTTTTATTACTTCTCCTACTTGGACATTGGAATGCTTGTTTACAATTTCTTATACCAATGTTACATGATTATCCAGTAGAAAGTTGGGTGGCCAAAGGTAAACTACAAGTAAGTAGATAGTGTATATTATCTTAAAAATTTAATGTCATTCATTAAAATTACAATTTATCAATGAATAATCATGTTAATATGATTACGTAACATCATACTAAGTAATATTACATATCAGGTAAGGTTATATGAATATTATGGTAATTCATATAGCTGAAATCATGAGTCAATTGAAGTTAGATCATCATGGAAAACCTGGAAGCACTGTGGGACTCCTTGGCAGTGCGCATCCACGATCCCACCTTGCGAGATTCTAGCTTCAATTGACTCATGATTTCAACTATTAAAATTAGCATTACATAGATGAGCTTAATAGAACGCTACATAACTTCTGTATCTATATGTGTAAATAAATAAAATAAACGATTAATGTAACACTATTTAAATAAGAAAGATTAGTTCAGCGAAGAGTTCTCTTTTCGGCGAATTCATTTTCAAAGCTGTACAATCGCAAATATATATACTTATTCTTACAGGGTGGTAATAATACTGATAATAAACTCCTGTTATACATGGTGACAGTGAGGTTAAATAAACAAAGATATTAGGAAAAATTTTTAAAACAAGGAAAGTTTAATAATCGTTTGATTGTTAATGGCTTAAGTATTCATCAAAAGATAGATAGGAAAATTATCATTGGGAAAAGATGGCCCAGTATGATAAAATAAAATGTTGAAACAGAGATGAAATGTAATCGGAATGATCGTGGAAATAAAAACAAACTAGTTGGGGGTAGAAGATGTAAAGGGAAGATAGAAGGTGAAGCAGATGGCTGTAAAGGAACAAGAGTACGAAAAAGAGTGAACAATTTAATATATTAAGATCATGGTAGAAGGAGAGGTTGTACCAGTCTCTTTTGCACACACAATTCTGGTTTTTCCAGATGTATGGCTATTGTTCCGGTAATGCAAAGAAGATGCAGTCTAATTGTCTTAGGAAGACTTCTACTTACCTTGTACATGACTTTGAACGCAGAATCTGTCTTGATTGAGTGACCTGTGTTCACAAGGTGTTCGATGATAGAACTTCTTACTGAGCCGTTACCTCCTCTTTTTAGCCACGCCAGATAGTGTTCTTGAATTCTTTTGGATAAAGTACGCATCGAACGACCTATATACCTAGCTCCACAAGAGCAGGTAAATTGGTGAATGCACATTGAGTTGGTCAGAAGCGATAATTTATCTTTCAGATTATTATCAGTATTATTATCATCCTGTAAAAATAAGTATATATATTTGCGATTGTACAGCTTTGAAAATGAATTCACCGAAAAGAGAACTCTTCGCTGAACTAATATTTCTTATTTAATGTGTTAATGGGTGTATTCCGTTTATTAAAAAAATCCAATAACACTATTTGACTGACAAAGTAATAAAATGTCAATAGGATGAAGTAACTACATGTTTATTGTGTCAGTAAGTGAATGTGCAGATATCGCTTGAAATTACATAGGAACGAATGAATAAAATAATATCAACAGGAAACTAATAACAAATAGGAGAAGAATGAAGTTTCAAGTATTTAATTTTCATAGATTAAACCGCAGACTGACCTTAGAAACCAGGAAAGACCTGACGGCTATTTCACCCCTTATTATGAGACTTCTCAATAGTACACATCGACAATACCACCGGGAATCGAACATGATACCTTCGGTCTCGCGAGCGAATGCTTAACCTATAGGCCACTTAATTGGAATCTGGTGATTTACAGGCATAATTTTAATCAATTGGTGATTTTGTGCAATCATCTTTATATTTATATATTTCCAACACTTTTGTTATGTAGTTAATTGTAAATTAGTTACTTAGCTAGTCACTTACTTATAGATGATTGTTCAGTAGCTTGGGTTAACAAATCAGATTAACTAACTAAAACAAATTTTTAATGGTGAGTTACAAGAGAGTTTTCATGACAGCAAGAAAACGCGTTTTAACCAGTCAGAAGGCAGTAACCTCTATTTATAATAGGAAACGAAGAAAATTACTGGTAAGACATTGCTTTTACATTATTAGGGAACTTTCCCAAGTTTTCTATGGATTCTCTAACTTAGATATTCCGAACCAAAAACTCTAACATTAACATCTTACCTAATTGATCTCGTGTTTCTATACATCCATTCAGGGTAGTTTCTTCACGGCATTCACATATAATTGCTTTTTAATATTTTACAAATATCTTATATTATCCTCGCTGAAATTTGTCATAATGCGATAAGCCGTTATATTCATGCTACCCTATTTTAGCCAAATGATAGAATTTATCAGTATATATGCCGTGACGCTGAAGCCTCTTAGTCATTCCTGAATGGTTGTGTGGCATTCCGTAAGTTACCCCCATTCATTTAGAACCTTAAAATAAGATTGTATTCACCCTTTCACATTTTCTCCCATTACATATTACTTCTTATTATTAGAAGTTGAACTTGTCAGAGGACATTAACATACATATTTTTTTCTTTAATATTTATTTAATAGAATGCTTATTGGTTTGATCAATACACTTGGGCTTTATTTAAAGCTATGTCACATATGTTAACTATTGGTTATGGAAGATATCCACCTACCAGTTTAAGTGAAGCATGGGTTACAGTGATAAGTATGGTTACTGGAGCTACTGGATATGCTTTATTTGTTGGTCATGCGGCAGCATTAATACAATCATTTGATTGTTCAAAACGTCTTTACAGAGAGAAAGTAATTTCACGATTATTTTTACTATATAATTTACTTGTATGTAATATGCTACTTCATGTCAGTATGTTTAAACTGTTTAAATTACTACTGTAGTTTAAAATGAGAGATAGTCATTAATTTAGTAGTGAAAGAGAATATGGGTGAGGACAACTGATTATATTTAGCATAAAATTACAGAGTTACTTGATAAAATAGAAAAACTATATTCCAATACTTCATTACTTGTCTCAGACTTCATTGTTCTTGCATTTCCATACTAATTGCTTTCTGTTCCCATTCTTTCCTCCTCGATATTTTCAACCTTCTGCTACCAGGCATTCTATTATTATTTGGTGTTATATACTACTTATGTCGACAAAAGTAGCACATACCACAATCTAATACACAAATTACTTACTTATTTCAATGCATTTCAACTACTAATCAGTTTTTATCAAGTTTTGGCTGATAATTATGATTTACATATGTATGGATGAAATTTTTGTAGTAAATTAGTCACTAATTAAATTACATGTATGGTGAGATACATTTTATCGCTATGTAGCTTCGATTATCATCAGCTGATTTTAACACTGTAATATTTTGAATTAAGTGTAATTCTATGTATCTGAATTATATACATTAACAGATAGATGGTCCACAAATAATTCCGATAGATGTATGCTAGCCTTATGTAAAGAGTTATGGAACAATACTGATCCAAACTTGTTGATTACTGACTTATGGATCAGTGAATATTTTAAATTAGAACTATAATTCGTTATTCAGTTAATGAGAAGCAGCCAAAGGTTAGTTAAGACTAAATCCAACAGATTAGGATTTTCGACATTATAAAATTACTTACCAATATTAAGCACATCCAATTGACGAGTCTTAAATAAAATGAAATGCTATATATACCAGTATAGGGTGGTGAAGATTATTGAGTTTAGTTTGAGATGATGAATCGATCAGTGTTAGACAACCATTGAAAAACTTGAAGCACTGGATGGCCGTCTCGTTTCAGTATGAGGCTCCTCAACATCACGCATCCATGATCCCGAATACGGGACTCGAACTAAGGACTCTTAGTCACGTAAGAATGCTTAACCTCGAGACAGCTGAGTCAGGATCCAACAGTGTTAATGTCTATCTTCAACTAATCTACGATATTATGCCATCCTCTTTTATTTCTTCAGCAATTTGTTGAATTATAAAATTATGATGAAATCATTGAAAATAGTTTTATTTTATAAATATTTAGTTTAAACAAGTGGATGAATATATGGCATATAGAAAACTTCCACGTGGTTTACGTAAACGTATTGCTAGTTATTATGAACATCGATATCAAGGGAAAATGTTTAATGAAAATGAAATTCTCAATGAACTTTCAGAATGTTTAAAAGAGGTAAATATAATTTTATTTCTTTTGTAAATGTTCATTTGACTATGATTGTTATGACTTGAAGCTCAGGTTGTCATCATGAAATTTTTTTTGGCCAATCGAAGTACGACTGTGCGAAACCAATGATGTTCAACCGGTATGAGCAGCCTAACATTCTTATCGGTCCGTTGTTCGTCAAGCCCGTTCAGTTGAGTCCAAAACACCAATAACAATCTTCCACTATGCGAATTATTTATTTCAAACATACTTGGTTTATATACCAGGCCAAATGAACCGCATCACATCATAAAATAGGAAATAATATTGATACAAGATCAACCCAAAAAGTGGTTGTGAACGTGGGAGACTGCAATCAGTAAACTGAACATAACTTATGAACAGTAAATCGTATAATCATAATCTTTATGTCAGAATGAAGTATATAATAAGAGGAATATAGATATACATAGTCCAATTACTTAGTAGTTATACAATAAGAATGTATAGATTACATCAATCCATTAATGGGTCTCGGAAGTTACTCGTAATTTAATCTCTGCTAGGATATAACATTGAGATTTGATTCAGTAGATGATATTAGTCCATTCATAGTTCTCAGAAGTTACCTGTAATTTAATCTCCACTGGAATAATATAACAACGAGACATATTTTTTCATTGTCTGTACAAACTTGTATTTGTTCTGTACTTAAGCGATAAGTACAAATACCTTTGAACTTTTTATTTCAACGATGACATATCAAAATTGGTAGTCATTTTATTGATATTCAATCCAGCTTTATATGGATACTATAGAATAAGATTAATACAAAACACAAGTACTCGAATAAGTTAAATTCAAACATTTGATCTCATGACATCTGGATACAACTAGGTGGAAGTAATAATCATACTAGAGAATTAAGTTAAAAGAAAAATGAAATTGGTAAGATTCATAAAATTACGTCCGAATATCACTCGTAAACTATCATTTACTTAGAACTTTTGTGTTTGAAATTTTGATAGTATACCTTTCGGAATGTCTGGAAACGTTTTTATTAGATTGCAATAAGGAGCCCTAACGCTGGATTTCATCAGTCAGATATGTCTCCTATCTTCAGGGAATAAGTGACTACTTAGAGATTCTAACATGTGTTATCTGTTACCACAACCAAAGATGTTAATATTTAGCTATTAATATGACGAATAACACTGCAACTAATGTATATTATATCATATACCGGTATGTATGAAAGTTCCAAAACAAAAAGATTCGTCCGTATGGGTTGTAGAGATTGTTGAATTTCATTGACAATATGAAGCGATGAAAGTTAGACGAACATTAAATTTCTGGAAGCATTAGACAGCCGTTTCGTTCTAGTGTGAAGCTTCGCAATTACGTGCATCCGTGATCCCGAAAACAATATTTTAACAAAGGACCTTCATTCTCGCACACAAACACTTAATCTCTAGGCCACTGAGCCGGCATCCAACGGTGTTAATGTCTAACTTCAACTAATCCACGAAGTTGCGCCACCATACACCATTGTTTTCAGTGAGCTGATATCTCACAACAGACCTGGTTGAACTCCACTGGTAACGGCTTCTCACTAGAACTCCAGGAGTATCTCTTGAAGTCAGTCACTAGTGAGCACAAAACCCCTTCTGACAATAATCATCTGCTCATTGAAATTTCTAAAATCACCACAAAACCCCTTCTGATAATATTTGAATAGCTCATATAATAGACTGACTTTAACTCAATAATTATTGAAAACCAGATAGCAGTGCACAAGTGTGGACAATCGAATATATATGAACACAAAATTACAGAATATTCTAGTAAAATCTGAGAACCATACAATGAATACGGTGAGATTATAATTTATGGACGACCTTTGAGCGACGCTAAAGTGACCTTGAGAGTGCCTACCTACTTACTAGGGCTAAATGAGGGTTATAAAGCATTTTGAAGAATAAGGTTTATGATTTACAATTGATGGTTGGGGTTAGGAATTAGATTTAAGGTTTTCATCGTGAACTGACGTCAGCTATAATGCCGAGACGCTATTTAACCAAATGGGTGAATGAATTTCGCACCAAAATATAAGACTTGTTATCGTAAATCTCATTGGTTCGTCCATAAATTATAGTCTCGCTGTGAATACCTAATTTGTAAAATATCAATCAATTGTCTCAAACTTGACTGTTCCTTTTGCAAATATTAGTCAGTCGTCTCAGATTTCAATGTTCCTGAATTCTCATACCAATTATTTTCTGCTACTATTCTTTCCTCCTCGATCTTCTTGACCATCTGCTGCTAGATATTTTATTCCTGATTTGCGTTATATACTACTTATGCTGATATATGTAGCACAAACCAGAGCAGAAGACTATCTACAATAATCTTACATAGTAATAGGCAATTCTGCCCTAATGACTTACTCTAAGAAAAATTGATGGTGTTTTAGTAATAAATTATAACTGGTGGAATTTACCAATGTCAAGATTGAGACAGCTATCACAGATGTTAGACCACCACTGAAAACCTGGAAGCGCTGGACAGTCGTTTCGCCGTAATGTGGGACTCCTCAGCAGTGCACACCCAAGATCCCGCATGCGGCACTTAAATCCAGGACCTCCGAAGTCGCGCGCGAAAGCTTAACCTTTAAACCACTAAGCTGGCATATAACAGTGTTAATGTGTAACTTCAGTCAATCCACGATAATGCATCACCGTTCACCATAGTTTTCAGTTAGTAACTACCTCATAACAGGCATGGTTGAAGTCCACTGGTCACGTCAATTCATCAGAACTCCATGAAATCCATCTTGAAGCAAGTCACTAGTGAGTACATAAGGAGTCCCATACTAGGACGAAGTGGCTGTTCATTGCTTCCAGGTTTTCAATGATGGTTTATCATTGATCCATTCATGATATCAATCTAAACTTAACAATCTCTACAACCCTATACTGATAAACATAATTTTTTTGTTTTCTGCATTTAAGCAAATTATCAATTACAATTGTCGAGCTTTAGTTGCTGCTGTACCATTTTTCACATTTGCTGACCAAAATTTTGTCTCAGAAGTAGTTGTTAAATTACGTTATGAAGTGTTTCAACCAGGTGATTTGATTATTAAAGAAGGTACAATTGGTACAAAAATGTATTTTATTCAAGAAGGTATAGTGGATATTGTTACAAGAGATGGTGAAGTAGCCACTAGTCTGTCAGATGGTTCATATTTTGGAGGTGAGTGTACTTTTTTTAGGCATAACTTTAGACCTCATTGGTAGAGTTTAATTATTTTATTGTTATTAATTGACATTTGTGATTAGTCGTTCTTATGCGTATGTCAAATATTCATGTAACTCGATTAATAGAGCTTATTTGTACAGGTTTGTGTATTCGGCTTGAATTTTAATTGTTAACATGAGAGCTAGTGATAGTATTAGAATACTCAAAACAGAGTAGGTAAAATGGGATACGAGTCTTGGATCTACTAGTAAAAGTCGAGCACTTTAATCATTAAACCACCGTTCCATAAATCTTCATTAAATTCATCATTAGCTTTCATATGGTAAAGTTACTACTATTTATAGAAGTGAATTTTGAATATTTGTTTAAGACTTTTAGCCGATTTTACTGTTTCTATGTATCAAATGTAGATTTGAATGAATTATTGGATAATCCAATTCAATAATCACATGAAGCAACTACTCAAAAAGCTTGTAGATTTTGTAAAGTAATCTAAATTAGTATAATAAGAAAAACATACATTTGGATAACTGATATCTTCAAGAATTGGTTAGATAATTGGTATAACTTGTTGGCCTGTGCGCCCTGTTAGTGTATAACATATAACGTAACGATACCGCCAATTAGGGAGCAGTGACTTATCGATCGAACCAGCGATGCATAAAACCCTTATGAGCAGACTAGAGTACTCATCAGTCCAGCTTTCCACCTAGCCCAACCAATTAAGTTCAGAACACCAATCTCAGCCTTTCCAATATCAATCGTTTACTTCAAGTATACGGGGTTTATATACCAATCAAACAGACCACATCGTACCAATAAAATAGGAAACAACACTTGTACAAGAATTAGCCAAATGTGGCTGTGAATGTGGGAGGTAGTAATGAACAGACAGGACATAATTCAAGAATGGTAAATCGTATAATATTAGTTCATAGGTCAAAATAAAGCTCATATTAAGAGGGACGTGAATATGAATAGTTTAGTTATTTAACAATTATACGATAGAAATATACGCATAGTACTGGTCCACAAATGGATCCCAAAAGTCACCATTCATTATACTTATCGCGACATAACAATAAAACATAAAAAATATAACTCATTTTTTAATTCACTACCAAACATTACAGACATGTATTGATGAATCTCTATTAGTTAAAGAGTTCTGGTATTGCATGTTGATTATATTTTTCAGTAGTTCGGAAGTAGTTTTAATTTATATGAGTGTATAATTCAATTCACATTGGCACGGTAAGCTAAATGGAATAAAAAAGGATTCATTCGATAAGTTGAAAAAAACAAAAGGCAAAAAGGAATAGATATTGTGTATTGTTATAGGAATTTTCTTGAAGTAATACTTTTTAAAATTAACTTCCTAAAGTTCTAGTGGGAAGCAGTGACCAATGGAGATCAGCCGGGTCTGTTGTGAGATTTTAACTCACTGATGACAATGGTGGACGGTGGCGCGCGTAACTGATAGGTTCTGTGTTTGAATCTCACGAGGCGGGATAGCTCAGTTTCTTGGATTAGTTGAAGTTAGACATTAACACCGTTGCATGCCGTCTAGCCCAGTGGTCTAGATGTTAAGTGTTCGTGCGCGAGAATGAAGGTCTTGAGCTTCAATCCCGTGTGTGGGATCGTGGATGCATACTGCTGAGGAGTCCCACAATAGGACAAAACGGCTGTCCAGTGCTTTCGGATTTTCCATGGTGGTCTAGCTTCCACTAACTCATGATCTCAACTACTAAAATTATTTTAAAATTGTCATATAATTTGTTTCATTTACATTGTTTGGATCCTTTTAAAAAATAAACACACTTTTTCTATTATAGAAATATGTCTATTGACAAACGCTCGCCGTGTAGCAAGTGTTCGAGCAGAGACATATTGCAATGTTTATTCATTAGATAGAGCAAGTTTTTTGGAAGTATTAGATAATTATCCATTAATGCGTCGAACTATGGAATCTGTTGCAGCTGAACGTTTAAATAAAATTGGACGTGATCCTTTAGTTGTTAGCAATCGTAAAGATTTGTATGATGATTTAAAACTAGTGAATGAAATAGTAAATCAGGTAAGATTTTTAAATTAAATTACTGAGTGTATTTTATTCTGAATGTTAAAGGGATATCAGTATGTACAATTGATAAATCACCGACTGGTGATTAATGTTAGTCAGTCAGTAACAACGTAGAACTTCGTACGTACGTACATCAGTTCGACTTGCCATACCACATTAGCACACAGATGCAGTGGTCGATTCAAATCCCGTAGTGCTAGATGTAGTAATATTATAAGCTGTAATCAGAAAAATTAGGGTTTGAAGATGTTATTCAAGGGGTACAATACAGTGAAGTAAATTTGGAAAGAGAAAAAAGAAAGGGACATGAAGAATCCAGAAGATTAGAATTTGGGAGAACACAAAGAGTGGATACACCTGCGCCATTGCAAACGATTTTCAGCCATGTCATTCAGGGTCTCTAACCATCGGTTACTATCATCTCGCGGTCCCCAACCAGGTAGTCTACACCTACCAATATGGCTCAGTCGACTTGTCAGTGAGTTCATGGACTTGTGCCATGTTTTGGTCTGGCCACCCCTTGCTTTCTTCCAATCTACTCCTAAACAACAAAACATCGCACATCGAGGCAGTCGGTCGTTGAGCATATGTAACACGTGTCCCAGCCATCTAAACTGATGAAGTTTCACTACTTCATCAATGAATTTGCCATCCTTACCTAGCACCCGTTTCCCAACATCTGCTTTACTTACTCGATGGTCCCACGATATACGAGCAATGTTTCGAAGACACCTATGATCAAATACTAGTAACCTACGAATATCCTCTACTCTTACCGGCCATGTTTCACTGCCATAAAGTAGGACGGAACGAACTGCTGCACAGTAAACACGTAAGTTGGCAAAAGCTAGTCGAGCCTTCTGTATCCGTGATGAGATTTCGTCACACAACAAACCACAAGGGCTGTCGAGACTTCCAAGATAAGTGAGGCGGTCGACGCACTCAACCACTTCACTCCCTATCATTAGTTCGGGTGTCAATGCAACCCAATTCTGAAGTAACATTTTACATTTCGTGGGGGAGAATCGCATCCCGAACATGCTTGCATTGTTGCTTAGAGTGGTCAGAAGACTCTGCATTTGTCAGCGTCTTCACCAAATAGAACTATGTGTGACTAATTTTATGTTCGTCTAGTCTACATGGCTCGGCATCATGTGAACTATGTTCAGTTTTCAGGTGGGTGGAGCTTAGAAGGTCATTATACCATAAAGTTAATGACAAATAAATTATTCAAATGAAATGAAATGATAATATGACTCACATTTGGTGTTTAGATTATTCATCCAATTCTATCAGTCAACACTAAAGGATTAGATTAATACAACTTAGTGGTTAGTCAGTTGTATCCAACCACTTTACACGATCATATGTACATGAAATTACTACTGGACTCTGATTCACAATATTTTTAAACGTCTACAATATGGGATTAGTGGAATTACATGTAATGTTTGGTTGAATTTAAAGATAATTTTTGATCATACTCATTATGATGAGAAGAATTATCAAAAATTAAGATGAATCAGATAACCTTTTTATTCTAAACTGTAACATCTGATCATTGCATACTCTACCTGAATTCAGGACCTAGTATACTTGATACAATTAGATCAATATATAGAAATGGAATACTTACATGTTTGATCATTTCTCAATGTATCATGATGATTATTAAAGAAAAGAATTAAATTCCAACTCATCTTCTTAACTTGCTTACAAAAAAATATATTTGTGATAATGGCAAACGGGTGAACTTGAGGAAGCTCTAAGAAGCTCAGAAAGACGAAGATACTCCATCCAATCAGCTTTTGGAAGAATATTCCAGAATCACTATGTGTAGCTTCCCTATTGGACAAATGCTAAAAACCCACTGTATGCGGATTGAAGGACTATACCGATGATTTCATTTTTAGTAAAAAAAACTATAAATACCTGGTAGTTTTGTACCATATTTAACACTGCTTGGAATAGCGTTCCTTTCACTTGACTTCTGTCTTATCATTTGAAACTTAAAGGGTTCTAGCATTTAAATACTCAAGTTATACTCGGTATATTAAGAATCTAGCGTGTAGATATAACAGTAAATAACAACTGTTTATTTACTATGTGTCTTATAAACCGATAGAATTCATGGTTGTTTTCTGGCTTCTTCAGCTGTGGTCATACTAAATGGCGAACTCAGTAATTTGAAAAAATCTATGATATTTCTTATTTTTTCAAATACGATCGCTTGATAATGAATAGTAACTACGAAATCTGGGGGGACTATAATTAACAGACGACCTTTGAGCGACGCTAGATCGACGTTGAGAGTGTCCACCTAATATCTAGGACCAAATGAGGGTTATAAACCAGTGCGAGGAATAAGAATCATGATTTACGATTGATGGTTAAGATTAGGAATTAGATTTAGGATTTTCATCACGAACTGTCATCAGCTATAATTCCAGAATTATATTAAGACAATTTCGTTCCAAAATCCGAGACCTATTATCTTATACCTAATTGATTCGTCCATAAATTATAGTCTCACTGTGAAAGATAATCTTTTCTCTATTAGTTTCTACTTTAAAATGACCTTCATTCAATCTTTTCTTTTAAAACTTTATATACATAATGATTGTGATATTTTAGGCTATTCGTGAAACAGATGATGTACAAATCGAAGGAGAAACCGAAGATAGCATTGATGAAGACGGTATTGATAATTGTAGAACTGGTGATAATATGAATACTACTACTACTACTACTAATGATCATATTAGTAGTCAATGTCGTAATAATCATAAACATAATCCTAATGAACGAAATTATCAATTATGTAAAAAAATTAATAAATTCTCACATCCAGTAAATTATTTTAAACGACGTAAATCATCACATTGGAATACATTATTATTACGTAAAAGTTCTGAACCTGAATGGTGGAATCATTCAACGAATAATCGATCTAGTACATCAACTTTATTCAATACAAATCTACGTAAATGGTATCATATAAAACAAGGTAAATTAAATCAATCAAAAATCATTAAAAAAACTAAAAGTGTAGATCATTTAAATTTATTAAAAGTAACATCATCGAATTTAGTAAATAATTGGCAAATCACAAAATCAACACCGGTGAATGTAACAGTTTCTGTTATTCATGATCATGATCATGTATCATTGAAAGAATCAACTATATCAAGTATACCAATTAAATTGAATGAACAAACTAATGAAAATGATCTTCCAATCAATAATCAATAGAAATAATCTATATATCAATATACTTTAAACAGTTATTATTATTATTATTATTATTATTATTATTACGTAATGTAACCCAATGAAATGGTCTATCTACAATAAAGAGATGCATTTACTTAACTATATTAAACATTCATACAAATATCATTTGTGAATACTAAATGTAGAATTAGTAAATTATTATTATTTAAATAAACAATCTATTTCTTTACATACATTGATATCTCTTATGAAGATGTTTTAAGTTCAATGATTGAAATCATGAATCCATTGAAGTTAGATCATTATGAAAAACTTGGAAACACTGGAAGGCTGTTTCGTTGTATTATGGGACTCTTTAGCAGTGTACATTCATGATTCTACAATAGGACGAAACGGACTATGTAGCGCTTTCATGTTTAATTTTTTCTCATGATAGTCTATCTTCAATGGACTCATGATTTCAATCATTGAAATTACTGGAATATCCACAAACACTCTTCGAATATTTTAATGTATTTGTTCAGTGGTTGTGAAAGAGTCTAATTTGTTTATCATTATCTATATACATATACCTGTTGATTAAACAATCTATTCAATTAGATTATATTCTTATTGTTATCATTGTCAATAGTTTATTATTCTTTTTGTCACAGTTTGTTTACTTTCTTTTTTTTCAACTTAGAACTATGTGTTAGTACCATTGGTTAATTAATGTCACTTTGAAAGCGGGTACTTTTCCCCCATCAGTACTAGTCACACAACTATCACAATCATTAAATATCTTTTATTTATCATGTAATTTCTCATTGAATAATCAATTGATTAAGGCATTTTCAACGAGATGAACATCGAATCCATACAACATTAATATTATATTCAGATTGGATTAAAGTGTTCAGTATTATTTATTGTTCAGTATAAACGTAATAAACGTGAATACAGTTGAAGACAATTGATTGTATTTTTGGTAAAATATAAGAACTATACACTAAAATATATTTCATTTTCAAATTTTCATCATTTGTTCTTCATATTCTGTATAATTCTCCAAGTTCTTCTTAGTTTTCTATTGCCAGGTTTTCCATTTCCGATTGGTGTTATATACTACTTATATCAGTCAGCATAAGTAGCATGCATTACATAACAAGTATTAAGCACCTTTATTAACATCATGAAATAAACTTTTGCATAGTATTTATGTTTGCATCAAAATGATTATGAAAGTTAACAAAGAATAGTTTTTTTTTCTAGTTCAACCAATTTAACACAGTGATTAGTTAGATGCTTAAATTAGGTTTATTAGAAATTTGACAACAATTTGAAAATAAATTTCCTATTGAAATAATATCAGTTAATGATCAGATAGTAAACAGTTGGAAGCTTATATTATTGATTAGTTCGTAAATGGATGAACAATTTGTGTTTATCATTTGGATTCCATGAAAAAGTTTTGCGTAAACTTACAGTTCATATTCATTTTGTATTGTACATTCGAATATTCCCATGGATGTTTAGGACTGCAATTGATCAGTCTCTTATTAGAATATGTGCATACTGTGCGAATTGCTTCGGTATTGCCTTAATTTACAAGCATTATAAGCGAAGATGGATAGTAGCTAGCAGTTGGATCCAAGATGCGCATTTGATCCTATTTAGAACTCGTCACCTGGATGAAGTGAATGATACTGGGTTCCAGACCCATATTGAACATCAACTCTGGCATACACGTACATCCAGCTGATGAGTTCCAAATAGGACAAAACGCGCGTCCTGGATTCCACTCTAGTCAATATCTATCTTAACACTTCACAGTTTATAGTTATAATATTCTTTAGTTACGACATTTTGGTTAGTTATCAATGTGAAAGTTAATCTATAAAAACGATTCATCTTATCTATAGTTAATTGCAAAGTTTTTGATATATCAAATAAACACAGTATCTTCTTGCCTATCTTCTCACTTATTTGAAGACTTATATAACCATATATGCCTTTTGAATATTAAATTACTTTCAATCTAATTATTGGAAATCTAATAAAGTGTAAGTTATCTCAAACAATCTGAGATTTTCTTTACAACTCTCTAGTACGTAATGATTAACAATCGACAACAACAAAAAAACAACGTTTTATTCACATGGTGTCGTTTACTTGTATCTCATCGAGTCCCAGAGTGAGCATCAACTTTGAGATGCAGGTACATCCAGCTGACGAGTCACAAATAGGACAAAACGCGCGTCAAACTCGATTCCACTGCTAGCCACCATCTATTTTCGCTTAAAAAAAGTTTTTTTTCAATGTTTTTAACAATTTTATCTTAAAATATCAAAAATATCCTTATAATTCCATATGATATTGTAGGTATAATCTCTTAATCATTATACACTGAAGTAATGAGTTTCAACCTCTTTATTGTAAAATACTTATATTGTAAATACATATCTAAATAACAATGACTGACCATTGAACAATAACCCCTACCATATTTGCCTAGTCTTCATTGTCGATCACATTCTATAGATTAAGTTAAATTTTAATTACTAGTCTAAATGACTAGGGATTGTATATAGTATATGTTCGGGTGTTATATAGATGAAAGTGATCGGTAGATTACCTGGAACGTGTATTCTGTTATAGTTGGTACTAATTGGAAAAAGCCCTCAAATGCCCTGGTACGGCCGAGAGTGGGGAGAGACCGCTCTCCCTCTTGAAATGCTCTCACATGGCCACGTGTATGTAGCCTCTGCCAGGGAAGTCCGACTCACTACCTTCTCGTGGCGGGAGTGTTGTTTGCGAAAATGAGAGGACGAAAAGCGAATGTCCGGCGCTTTAACCGGATTCCAAACCATTGGTGCACATGGGCTCCAGCATCCTGTGGGAACAAGTGGCGTACAAACCAGTCGTTGGTCACCGGCTTCCTTACGTTGCTCCACTGCCTTGTGGATCAGACCTTCAGGTCGAAGGCTCAAGGAGTGGCCCACTAAGAAAACCACCTGCTTCAGTTTGGACACCCGGGCAGTATCACATCCCTCACACATATCAAATGAGATTTGTGTGGCGCATATGTATTTGGTGCCTCCTTGTACCAATATTTATGTGTTAAAATAAATAAATAAATAAATAAAATTGGAAAAAACGTATCTACGAACTTAAGATGACTGATTCATCGGCATAATACATTCATATATTTGTTGATTGATCACTATTCATTTACCTTATAACATTTATTTGACTAAGGAACAAAATTACAAATAGTTCTGTTTGTGATAGAAAAGCGAAATCGTTAAACACCAACATGAAGTATTCTTTATCTTCAAATATATGACAACAATGTACCAATGTTGAATAAAGATTATAGAAATTTACATTTAATACAAGTGTATGGTCAGTAAGGTATGAATTTCGGTGTGTGTGTGGGGGGGGAGAATTCAGTAAGTCGTTTGATTTTAATCCTCAAAATAATCGAACTTAATTTTTAGTTCAATACTTTTAATACATCAGATACAATAGTAAACATATTCTTTGTAATATGATCTAATTCAATGTATCAATGTCTAGAGGAAATACAGGCCATCACATGAAGTACATATCCAGATAGTTTTAGAAAGTTAATTCAAGTAAGAAAATTATGACTGATTGAATAAATCATTAAAACTTTCTTTTGGCTAACATGTTCTTTTTGGGAGCGGATAGAGAACAGTTTCTTGTACAATACAATGAATGGTCTGTCTTTATATTGCAGATTTATAGTCTATACGTTCATCTTACATGAAAAAATATATCAATTTTGGTGTTTCCCATGAAGTATTTAATACAGTTCGATTAACACTTGTGACAGTTTCTTAGTGTTTTACTTTCCGGAGGAATAAACATTGATATTAGAAGTACAGTTTTGGCGAGACTCTAATTTAGGGACGAGTCAATCAGAAGCGTTTGAGAAATTCCAATTATTAGCCAATCAGAAGACAGTTAGTATAAAGTGAAAATATATTATAAGAAAGTAATGAATTACAGTGGATATTCTTCTTTTACATGATTTAAAAACTTGTTAAGATTTGATAAAGGTTCAGAAGTTCTGAATTCATAATGCATACAGTATAGAAACTCGTCCATAGGGTTACGGTTTAGGGTTAGGGGTTAGCATCCTAACCCTAACCTAACCCTAACCTTAACCCTAACCTAACCCTAACCGTATTTTAGCACCATAACCCTAAACTTACCCTAACCTAAACCTAACCCTAACCGCATGGACGAGTTTCTATACCATATGCGTTATGAATTCAGAACCTCTGAGCCTTTATCAAACCTTAACAAGTTTTTAAATCATGAAAACGAAGAATATCCACTGTAATTCATTACCTTCATATAATATATTTTCACTTTATACTAACTGTCTTCTGATTGGCTAATAATTGTCAAGGTCATTTAAGATTCGTTCAAAGGTCGTACCTAAATTAGAGTCTCGCCGAAATCTCATCTACAATATATGATTTTGAGTCAAATGAATATACACTTACAATAAACTAAAAAAAAATGGAATTAGTATTATAAACATGGTAAATTGAAAAACTTTGGATTTGTTATAACTTGTGACCGCCGATCAGAGGGCGGTGAATTATCGATCGGACCAAGAACGCGGAAAACACATGCGAGCAGCCTAGAGTCCTGATTGGTCCTGCTTTCCGCCTAGCCCAACCAGTTAAGTCCAGAACACTAGTCTCAGCCTCTGCAATATGAATCTTCATATTTCAAACATACTGAGTTTATATACCAATCAAACAGACCACATCGTACCATAAAATAGAAAATAACATTTTACAAAATTTGGCCAAATGTGGCTGTGAATGTGTGAGGCAGTGACTAATAGACAGGGTATAATTCAAGAATGATAAAACGTATAATAATAGTTCATAGGTCAAAATAAAGCTCATAATAGGAGGGACATGAATATGAATAGTTTAGTTACTTAACAATTAAATGATAAATATATACGTTTAGTATTAGTCCATAAAAGGATCCCAAAGTTACCATTCATCATGTTTATCGGGACCTAACAGGATTACTGATATGAAAGTAAATTTAAGAAAACTTCACCCCTAGTAAATTAAGAAAAACTGTATCTTATATAAAGTTATAAAGGAGATGCAATTATTAATTTACTAGAACCAAGTTTAAATAAATGTTCTTTACCTTAATACATTTTGTGCATTCCTGAATGCGAATAAAAAAATCTTCCAACTCTGTCCACTTCTATGTACATATGTAAATTTAAATAGTCCAGTGGAGAAAGAATAAGCATGCGATCTTTCTTCATGTTGCACAACACTTAGGTAAATGCATAGCTAAATCATTGTTTGAGTCACTGCTAGAAAAGCCAACTTAGCATATTTGGTTGTTATTTTTCCAAAACTCAATTGTACAGTGCACAAACTGCAGTATAGGAACTCAGATTTAAAACATTTTGAAACTTCTGACTAAGCTTCGACTTAGTATTTGACTCGGATAAACGAAATGAAATAAAGATGATAATTTTATCTATACAGTAATAATTAGTTCCATCCATGATTATAATTCAAAAACGTACAACCTCATCCAACTGATAAGAATGTATTTATAACAACATTTTGAGCTACTTACAAGTAGTATAAACACAAAACGTGAAAAATAAACCCGTGGAACTGGAAAATGTTTCATTCAATTTCATTACATTTGCATTTCAAATCATCTGATCCATAATTTTACATAACCAAGTGGTCTTTTTTGTATATTTATGTTCGTTAAGTCATATATAACACTCATTTTGACCACATTGTTACGAAATTCCTTTTAAACAAAACCAAATTATGTCAGCACTTTAAAAAGTCTATACAAAAGAAATTCAGCCGAAAATATTTATGCTGTTTTTATACACTATAAAACACGGGAACTGATCAATCTGAGTTCACTTTAAAGTTACTGGTGTTACACCAACCCAATTTAGAGAGTAACAGCTTTGTATGATGAATCATGTCATGAATAAATTAAAAGAATTGGAAACTTTTGAACAGTGAGTAAAATCGGAATGCAGAACTCAGGTTCTGTTTGTGGTTCGTCATCTGGATATACCTGCATTACAGTGTTGGTGTAGACAATTAAAGTT